CGAGGGAATCGATACTAGAGGAGGACTTGGCGAAGAACGTGAGCCTGAGCCTGCACAACTCCTTTTGTTTGAACCGGGAATCAAGGGTGAAGGCACTACCCAATCAGGCAAAAAGGTTGCAGGAGCAAAGGGAATGGATGCGATCCTATGAACAGCTGAAGGCTTGGGAGGAGAACGTGATTAGCTCCGATGATGAAGAAGAACTGTTGAGACAGTTTGCCGTATCCAGTACTTCAGGAGACGGCACCTCCAAGGCGAAGAGTGCGAAATGAGCGGATGGTTCGAATGGATCTTGAGTCTTGACAGGGAAAGGGGGCTTGAGTGTGGATCCGGGTGAAACCTGGGTTCACGAAAAAAATTTTTTAACGAAACAGATATTGTTATTAATATGCTATATCTATTATATAAATCAAAATGCTGCATGACAATTTCCTTATTGAATGGGACAAAAGAAATTTTAAATAATTGGCTTGAAAAGCGAGAATTCAAGGGTGCAGGTGTGTGCAGATTTTGATTGCTGTTCAGCGGTAGTGTGAAAATTTTACATGGCTGTGAATTTTGGGGTGTAGATAAGCTTAAGTCTGCTGCGAACTTCTGTAAAGGACCACTGGCACTGTACCTTGAGCAACACTCGGTTTTCTGGGATTCACTGGCAGACGACAGCACGCGATGAGGAAATCGATCTTGAGTCCGGGGAGTATGTGCCAGTCGGTCATATTTGGAAGTTTGACCTTGAGAAAAGCAAGAGCACTTAATTTTGGGGTGAAAATTAATTTTTCAAAAATTCGAATGGAGCCTGTCATGCACGATTTTCTCGCGATAACTGAAAACCGAAAAAGAGAATTCAGAACGATCGAACAACAATCGCGGGAAAGTTGCCAGATAAAACAGTGGGAAATTGCTATTCGCAATTTCTGTCAGAATAGAACGAGAGTAGAGCTGTCCCATCTGAAACAGAGACAGGCGTATTCCCGAGAACTGGATTGTCATCACTCGATTGGATTATTATTTGAACTGAACTAGAGTGAATCTTCGGTGGAAAGGTGGACAGCTTGAGTGTCCCAATGGTTCACGAGAAACTACATCCTAGAGTTAAAACTTGTCCTTGTCATTGAAACATTAAAACTCATTTAGTTACATTATTTAATTCTCGAGTTAATTACCGACTGAAGTACTTCCCTTTCTTGAGTGTGCTACGATGTGAGTACTTAATTTAATTTTCTAGAGTGTGTTTTATGATTGTTATGTTGAGGTAAGGCGAGTTTTAGGTTGATCCATCTGAAATGGATCAAAGTTCCACTGTCCAATAAAAAGTAACTTAACGGATTGTTCCAACCCGGTTTTTAACGGCGTTCGTGTATTTTGGGTATCTAGAGACATAAGTATGGGGACGTTATTATTTCTAGAGTGGGGGATATTTTGGTAGTAGCCTTTAAGCTGTAACGGGTCGTAGTCTCATGTCACAAGCGAACCGAATTGGCTCCGACTGATTTGAGGTAGAAAAACACAAGAGATAGTGTCCCTGACTCTTGAGCCAATGGTTATAGGGCCTATTTTTCTTAAGCCTCATGTGTGACTACAGTAGACGAATGTTACATTCATCCGATTTTCTTTGATGTTAGTACTCGTTCTTTCTTTAACACTTGATTCAGTCATAAAAACGCTACACAACATAATGTCATGGAACTGTAAAAAAAAGCAGGAACAAGAACACAAAAACAATAGATGTAGAACATTAAAACAGTTAAGTATGGCACATCGGGCAAAAATATTGTCATAATAAGAGAAAGAGAAGTTCTCAAGCAGTCGAGTTTTCTTCGAGATACTCGTTTGGTGTAATTTTTATGTAAAGTGTAAGTTTTTACGCCTCAATCCAAAAATATTTAAAATGTATTTTGTTTTTCGTCCGACGCACAATGAGGTAATTCAGTCGATACAGCATCTGATCTGATTTCCTCAAAGCATCTTTTTTTCTTATTATTCATCCGATTTTCTTTGATGTTAGAACTCGTTCTTTCTTTAACACTTGATCTAGTTTACCAACTCTGATCTTGTATAATTTACTAATTTGTTTCTTTTTTTTTGCTTAATTGGGTCCAGGTTACGCAATGTAGACTGAGTTACCTTCTTTTTTGTAGGGTGAAAAGTTTTTGAAACCCTACAAAAATGTTTATGAAACCATGTTGATTTAATAAAAAAATTATAACCTTATTTTTTCATTGTCCCATTTTGGTTTCGCCTCGACCTAGATTTACCTAAGTTGGCTAGCGTAACAGATTTGCTTAAAGCGCGGAAATTTTTTTTGAAAGCTCATTTAACGGTGCTGATTGTGTTATTTCACAGTTTTCCCTCAAGTTAACATTGTTCGAGTGATTTTTTTTTATATGTCTAGTTTTTTTTTGTCACAGTGGCTTTATCTCGTTTTCTTTCTGCTCGTTATCTCGTTTTCTTTCAGCTATCTCGTTTTATTTAGTTGTTTTGGGATATAAAGATGAGAGCATCCTGTCAAATTTACCCCAAGATAATTTTGGGGAAAAGAATTGTTAAAAGATGATATTATTTTAGTTCCAGGATTCTTTCTTGGTGTTCATTCAAGCAATTATAGGTTTCTCAATTTATTTGGTCAAATGTTTGGGCGCTTGGGAATCCAAAAAACTGCTCTATATCGATGGTCGAAATAATAGCACAGAACAGGGCATCACAGTTATGGTAATGGTAACGACAGTTATGGTAACGACCTCTGCAAGAAACCCGCTAACAGTTGAAATTTTAGATAATTTTTGTTTGGCAGCGCCTGTTATAAATACATCTTGCAGGCGTACAGACAAAAATTTTACCATTAAATCTCAGTTTCAGAATAGAAATTTTCATATTCTGCTATTTTGCTTTAAAAATTTAAAAAAGCCCAGATAATTCATTTAGTTGTCTGAGTATCCACTTCGCCTTCTGCGCTGCTGTTAATTCGATAGGTCTTTCACTTGAAAGCCCCCTCCCCAGCCTAGACAAAATATATACACTGCGAATTTACTATCAAGGGGCGGGCTGTAATAGGAAATCTATCTATTATATATTTAAATGCGGGCTCAACTATCTCGCCACGTTAAAGCTTTTTCAACGTATTGTTTTTGCATGTTTAACGAAAGAATTTTTTCAAGTTCAAGCTAAATTGTATATTGCAATGGTTAATTTTTTTCTTTTTCGTTTTTCCAGGTTGAATTTAGTGGTTATATCACCGATTTTAAAATCAGCAGTCCAATAGTGGGATACTGCCAGGATTTCCCAAAGGGATGCGAATTTTGAGAAATTGCAATTCCCAACCCTGTAGTTAGGTGCTGTTAGAGTGCTCTAAAGGATTGCGAACTTGCCTCCAAATGTGACTGCTCAAGTCCTTGTAATTTTTCAGATATGACTTTTTTGTGATTTTTTTTAAATATTTGATATTACTAACCTTGTAGTTGAGTGCTGTTAGCGTATTCTTAGGGGTTGCAAATCTTACGTCCAAATAGACTGCTCAAAATCTTGTATTTTTCGAGGTTTGACGTTTTTTTAAATGATTTTTTCCAAAATTTTCAGTTAACTTAGATTTTAAAACATTCTTAAAATTTAAAAATCTCAACCCAGTACTTGGGTGCTGCCAGGGTACTCTCAGGAGTTTTAAATCGTGTCTCTGAATATGACTACTCAAATATTTGCAGTTTTCGAGATTTGACGTTTATGGTGATTTTGTTAGAAATTTTCCGGAAAACATAAATTTAAAAAGTTTCACACACTGAAATTCTCAACCATGTGGTTGGGTACTGTGAGAGTTCTTTCATGAGTTGCACGTCTTGCGTCCAAATGTGACTGCTTAATTGTTTTTTATTCCCGAGATGCGACGTTTGTTTTTTTAAGACTTGTTCAAAGAATTGAGATATAAAAATTTCACAAAATTTGAAATTCCTATCTCTATAGCTTTTTTGTGAAAATTTAGTTTATTTTTTTTTCATCAATTGAAATTCCCAACCCTGTATTTGTGGGCTTTAGAGTACTCTCAGGTGATGCGAATGTTGCCTCCAAAAATGTTTGCTCGAATCCTTGTAGTTTTTGAGATATGACGTTTTTGTGATTTTTTTTTTCAAAAAACTTTTCAGAAAACAAATGTTATTTTTTTTGAATGGTTGAAATTCTTGACCCTGTAGTTTGGGGCTGTCAGAGTGCTCTCAAAGAAGACTGCTAAAGTTTTGAAGTTTTCGAGACGGCGTTTTTTTGCTTTTAAAAAAAATTTTTTTAGAAAACTTCAATTTGAAATTTCTCCAAGTTTGAAATTCCCAATGCTGTAATTGGGTACTGTGAGAGTACTCTCAGGATTTGCAAATGTTGCGTCCAAATGCGATTGCTCAATTGCTTTGGTGAACGAGATGCGATGTTTTTTTCAAGTCATTTCAAAAGTTTCCAACGAACTGACGTTTAAAAAAACTTCAAAACTTTATGCTTTTTCAAAATTTGAATTGAAAAGTTTTGCAGAAGAAACGCTTTGCAGATTTTGAAATTACCAAGCCTGTAAATGGGTTCTACTAGAGTACTTTTCAAAGGATGCAGATCTTATTTCCAATATATGCAGTTTTTTTATGAGTTCTCAAAAATTCGAAGCAGCGGAGGTGCGTTACACGCTAGTTGATATTAATTAGATGTATGTAATTCGGCTTAGAAGTCTAGATAAAAAGAAATATGCTGTCTCACTCAAATTAAAAATGTTTTCTTTAATGATTTTTTGGTTTCCTAGTCATTTTTCTTCAATCTGCTTTCCTGTTTGTCTATAATACTATGACTGTCGAATATGACTAAATTATAGTTTTACGTCAGATCTTTTTTATCATACCACAAAGAAAAAACCACTAATTTGAAAAAAATGTTTGAAGGTTTTTAAAGACTATGGTCGGAACATTCTGTGCTACTTGCACGGTAACCGGCTATCCTTGTTTCTACTTGTCTGCGTTTTGATACTATGTTTATTTCAGAAAATGTTTTCTAAATCAATCAAGCTCAAATCAGATAACATGACCAAATTAGGTGAGCGCAAAAAATTGAAACAACAGGCCATCAAAGACTGGTCATTATTGAAATCAGATGAAACAGTTTCAATGGATATCGTCGAAGACCTTTTCTCGACTAAAGATCCGTTGTATACAAAAAAGTATCAAGTAGCAGAACGACAACAAATAACCGTCTACTCTTCATCATCTAATTCTATAGCTTTCGAACATGACAATCTGTTAGTTCCATCCTTGTTCAGTTTATGGAAACTGAAATTAGACAGGCCATTGTTTATAGTTGCGCCTCCGGTAATTGAGATTTTGAGTCGGGGTGCCAGTTTGATGGCTCCCGGTGTTCTCAATTGGGATACAATAACCAGCTTCGACAGAGGCGACCTTTGTTTCATTGTCGCTCACGGCAGCAATATTCCGACGGTTATTGCAGCTCTGCTGATGAGTCTTGAGGAGGTGCGAAGTTGTGGCTTCAAAGGAAAGTTAGCCAATGTACTGCACATGGTTGGAGATGAGCTTTTCAAGCTTGGAAGACAAAAAGTTCCTACCGAAGAGGAATACCTGCTGTGTAAATGCGACGAACAATTAGCATCAAATGGAGACAACACTGAAATAAACGAAGTGAGCGTATCTGAGTTGAAGCTAGATGAAAATCAGACCTCCGAATCGGTTGCCGAAGAAGCCAAAACTATGGAAGAGATACTCGAAATTTGTTTACTGACGGCTCTTAAGCTGTGTAAAAATAGTTTTCCAATTTTGTGTAGTACTTTTCAAGGTCAGTTTTTGATACCTGCTTGTCCTGATGGTTACTCAGTTGATGTCAAAAAGTCGAGGTTCAAGAAAATGTCAGTATTTTACAAAGAATATGAAGAGAAAGGCTTGATTAAGATTTCAGTTTCTGATAAAGATGTATGGAGCATTGCATCCGCTGATTTGAGTCATATAATCTTTCGAGGCTTCAAACCAATGAAAGTTGTTTCGCCTTCGGCTAAGAACGTTGAAGACGAAGAGGACGATTCAAATGTTGACTTCTTGCAAACATTTGTTTTTCCTGAAATAACTTCTGTTTACATCGCCTCAAAACCGTTTTCGAATGTTTTCAAACATGTGGAAAAAGGTGTCGTCCTCACTGCAAATGAAGTTAGGCAAGATGTTAAAGATTATGTTCTTGCCCATTGTGAAACTGGATCGAGCGGAGTTCTCTTAGACCCACCTTTGGCTTCGTTTCTTTTGAAGAAGAATGAAAACCTGTCTCATCTGTCGTGGCAAGACGTCAATCAGCGAAGTATCGATGCTCTGCAGCCTGCATATCAAATAAAAGGGGGAAGTTTCCTCAAAGAGGTGCTAGTTAAAGGTCAATCACATCCTGTTTTGAAAGTCACTACCCACAAACGAGCTGGTAATAAACACGTGACATTAATTCAGAATCTAGAGAAGTTTGGAATCAACATGAAACAGTTCGCTAGGTTCTTACAGAACCTTGCAGCATCTAGTTCATCTGCAACAACTGACAAAGCGACAAAATGTGAAATTGTTCAGGTGCAGGGAAATCAAGTCAAATTGCTGAGAAAGTTGTTCTTAGAACAGCTCAAATTTCCTGTTAAATGTATTGACATACCTAATAAATAAGTCGAAATAAATGAAGACTGAAGCTCTTTATGATTAATTTAGGTTACTTTAAAAAAATTAAGATTGAATAATTGCCAGTGATGCTTATGAAATTAGGCTCAATTAAGATTTCTATCTATATGTTTAATAGAGTGCTATTCTTCTTGCAGTTTTTTTTACCACTTTTACATGTAAGGGCAAGGGTTACATGTAAAGGCAACAATAAGCAAGGGTATTGCAACCGGGTTCTAGACTTTTTTTCGTAAATAACTTAGATCACAGGACGCATCTAGACTCGTCTTCTGGTGTCGTTCATAATGAATTCAAATGTTTTAGCTTCTCCTGCTTATTTAACTTGGAGTTAACGAATACAACAGGGTCGGCAAATCTACTGGGTTCGAATCTGACCAAGACCTGTTTTTTTTCAAACGAGACCTGTTTTTCAAATTTTATTTGTCGAGCTAAGATTTGTCTGCTTATGTATCGCCGACTTAATTGCCACGTCTTAGAATCGTTTATTTTTGCTGTACACAATTTTGCATTGTAGTTGCTTTTAGTAATTAAGCATTTTAAGTATCCGGTCGAATCGAATAGAAAATTCCAGACAAAATCAGGTACCAGAATTAATTATGGGAAGGATTAGAATTATATCTCATACCAAGCCCTGCAAGTAACTTTTATCAAAAACTTTTTTCAGTGTTGAAATAAACCAGTCTTAACATATTAGTTCAACGTCGAGCAAATCAACCAAGCGCGAAGGCTTTTAAATTGTCGATAAGTTTTTTTCAAACTGTGAAATTTTAGTTTCACTCCATTACTATGGAATTGCTATCGATTTTGCGTAAATTCTAGTCTTTCGTTGAAATCCTCATCATATCACAAAATAAGAAACGATGCAGTTTGAAAAAAGTAATTGTTTTTTTTTTTGTTTTGGTCGACTATTTCTATGCTACTTGCATGGCAACTAGCTACACTTGTTTCAATTTGTTTCTATTTTCTTCTCTTGTGTCTACGAACAATTTTAAAAGGTATTTGAGCAGTTTTTGAATACAAACATTATTAGTTTGAATCTTGTTTAACCCAGTTGGACTCGAAAATACTATCTGAATTAGATTCGAATATCTTAATTTTGGCATCCCGATGCTTACATTCTTTACGAGAATTTTGTGATTCTGCGAAAGTGCACATTATTTGTTTTTCTTTCCGATTCTTTGTTATTTTAAATGTAATGATTTTTTCTTTCTATTTTTTTGTCATTTTGAAATTTTTAAGTATTTAATCTTTATTTAAAAAGCAAAAATTCATATAATTCTCTCTTCGAACTTCGATCATTTTTTCCGGCGTTCTGTTTCTTTTTCACTTTTCCAACCATTGGTATTGCGATCGGGTACAAGACTTTTTTTCCCGTAATCAACTTTGTCCACAGGGCTGATTGGACTCCTGGTGGTACCTTGATTCACAATGAATTCAAAATGTGTAGTGTCTCTTGCACACTTGGCCTGGTGATATCGAATATGCTTAAGACGGCAAAGGTCCTGGGTTCGAATTTGACCAGAACCAGTTTTTTTTCAAACGGTTAAGTTTCCGGTTCAAAAAAATTCGGCCTGTTATTTGTCTGCTTATGTTTTGTCGGCTTAGTTGCGTTATCTAACAATCGTTTTTTTTTTAGCTGTAAACAGTTTTCACTGCAGTTATTTTTAGAATTTTAAAAATTGGGCCGAATCGAAATTTGTTTTTCACATAGGTTGTAATTTTAGCAGCTCGATTTGTTACAATTTCACTTTTTTTCTTCAATTTTTGTATTTTTGTAAGCTTAATAATTTTCGGCTTCATTAATATCGACTTGGTGGCCTCTTTTTGCGTCCTTACGACCGAAAGAAGTTTTCTGCGCATGTGTGTGCTCTGAGTGGAAAAGGGACTTAACATTTTTTATAAGTTGAAAATTTTTTGAATTTCTTTTCGGCATGAAGGGTCTTTTGGCGAAGCTTTTTTACCGCTTGGTAATTATAAATTCAAATCCCATCAAACATCCGGCGTATCTTACGTAGAGGTGAAGCATCTGCTTCAGACGGCTAAGATTTGCGGTTCGGGCCCTTTTTTTTTGCAAACTAGAGTTTTTGTGCGTTTACGGACTATCGTCCGTCTGTTTTTTTTTTTGTCGGCTTTGTTACGGTGCCTCAATGGTTTAGCTTTATTCCAAATTGCTGTAATTTTAATGCTTGAGACGACAGAATCCGGCAGTTACATTTCAGCTGAGAACTGTTTTTCTTGCAAAAAAATAAAAAAAGTTTGGCCAATTTAGATTATTGTGTCAGCTTATATTTGTCTGCTTAGTTCCGGAGAAAGGACTTCTTTGAAAAGTTGGCTTCTGTAGTGCATTACCTAAGCTCTTTGAAGAGTTTGTAATAGTGCAGGAAATTTTCCGGATATTTTGGACTTCGGTTGCAATTTTCTTTTGACAAAAACGATTTTTTGAATTTTTTTCGTTTGATTTTCATAGTCATTCCTGTTTGTATCGCAAGTGGTGAGAATCTCAGCTTCGCCTTTGTGCAGAGCTTTGTTTTTGACCCCTCCCTAAAGGAATTTGGAAGGGAATGTAGCCTAGGGTGAGTTTTTTCTCAATTTTAAGTACCTGAAACAAAGCTCGTATGGAGGCCAATTGTGATATCATATTAAAGCATATTGGTCTTCCAAAAAAGTTGGTTCAATGTTGAGGAACACTGGTTATTTTGAACCATCAAACTTTAACTAGATTTGATTCTTCAACTTGTGTTGATTCTTTAAAGCTGTAAGTTGTGTAAAATTTTAATTCCAATTAAATTTTTCAGGCTCAAAATTTTTTGTAACATTTTTATTGTGTTAGCCTACTTTTTTGAGATATCGCAATTTTTGAAAAGTTTTAGTTTGCGCAGATTTATCTTTTTGAGTCGTTTGCTTAATTGCAAACAGGCGTTTTTCATAGTATTACATATTTTGTTTGATTGTATGACCAAGTTTGCTTTTAAAGCTATTTGGTTAAGTACTCGTAATTTTTGAAATATCGTAAGGCTCTAAGAAAAATTTGCCGAATAGGAAATTTAATTTCGTACAATTTTTAAGGTTTAGTTTTCTGGGTAATCGATGGAAAATTTTTCTTTTTCTATTATTGCCTATCATGATTGAAAAGATGGTCTGCTTCTATTTTTGGAGTGAAATAACTAAAAAAAAAAACAGAAAAACCAGAGGTTTTTTTTGTGTTTTTAAATTTGAGACGTCAGCGTTGTATGTATTTCTTGTCGTGTAGGTATCTTGTTGACCCTTTCTCAATAATTTTTGAAAAAATGTAGACCGTTTTTTCCTGAAGCTTATTGTAAATAGAACTCTGCGTTGGTTTCTGCCTTGAGTTTTCTAGAACTCTTTGATCGGAAGTCTGTTTTGAATCGAAATCACAAAATCAAATACGCTGCTTTTCTCCTTGATTTTATTTTCATGACTTGCGAGTCAATTCGATTGCAGAAAATTCTGCACTGTCACTTGGTAATTTCAGATATGGTTTGAGGAGATGAAAACATTTGACCTCGAGGAGGAGATTTTCAAAAATGTGGACGCGGACCCAAAAGACATCGTCCCTCGGTTGCTGGCGACTATCAAGGAAAAAGTGAGTTCCTCAGACGAAGAGGCTAGAAATATGTTGATATTTTCCCAACAGGCTGTAATTAGAAGTTTGCATGGGAAAATTGGAGCGTTAATAGAACTGAAGCACGAAGAGAAGGAAGCTTTTATAGGTAAGAAAATTTTAAAGGTTATTTTTTACATATTGAAATGACCAAACTTTTACATGCACAGCACCATTAATTTTCAAGGTATGATTTTGAAAGCAGTCTTTGCTCATAGAAGTGAGTTTGTAAGGAAAAATGGTTTTATCTCACCTAAATTTGACACCAGTAGTGATTTCTTTGCGATAAATAATCCTGGACTGAATGTTCCAGATGTCGACCAAATGCAACAGAAAATTGAAATTCCGGTCAAAAGCCTGGTTGAGTTGGAAACTACACTTCAAGATGTGGCAGAGAATACTCAGCAGCCCTTAAATGTGAACCCTATAGTGGTGCTACAATCTGGCGACTTCGACCCTTCGATGGGGTATCCGGCAATTGAACCCTCAACTATGCAACAGCTGCTCATACTAGCGCCTACAAGAGTCACACCTGTTTGCAAGGGTCCGTTGAAACTAAAGAATCCGCAAATTAGTGTTGCTTGTCCAGTTAATTCAGATATTGATACCCAGAACCCGAATGCGGAAACGCGCAGTGCCGGTTTGAATGAAAAAGACATCGATATGATAGCGAGAAAGTATATGATCCCGATTCCAGCCAGCGACGAATCAAGTAAACTAGAAGAGTTAGAGTCGTTTGCGAAAGATTTCAGGACGAGAAGGATTAGACTGGGATACACGCAGAATGACGTCGGACTCTCCTTAGGTTGGTTAAGTAACCGAACGTTTCATGCTACAAACGTTGAAAAGTTATAGCAATAGGAACAGGTGTCTTAGATCAAAAAGAAAGTGAACAATGGACTAAAGATAACCACATTTATAAACGACATGCTTCGATTTAGTCTCCTGCATTTATGCTCTTTGGAAGAAATAACAGAAAGTTCATATCAATCATTGAAGTCGTTAATGAAACAAGAGTAGCAGAGAATGTTCGCATCGCATTAAAGTATACAAAAACTATACTATTTCCACTCCCTTCCTCTGCCCATTTTGCTTTTGTTTCAGTTTTTGAGGAAGGGAGTGGAAATGGTATAGAGTCACGTACAAAGTTGACATTTTTATTGATTTGAAATGGTTTCATCCGGCGTTCTGCACGTACTCTTGTGCTGAAAATGAATCTGGAAAAAAAATTAAAAAACGAGACTAATTTTTCTCGTCACGAAGTGTTTGCGACTCCGAAACACCGCTAAAAGTTCTGTAATGACTTAACCGAGCTTTCTTTGAAGGTTTCGCAATAGTTGTGCTATACTATGAAATTTTTTTCCTTTTGAAAGGTGCACAAAGGGGTCCCTATGAAATGTGCACAAAGAAATGTGCTCTCAAAAAGTGCATATATAATTAAGTGCATCAATATTTTGAGTTTCCTGAAAATAGAATCTGGAAAACCTATATAAGAGTCTTCTCGTTCACCACTCTTAATTAACCCAATTTGAGAAAACGGCACATTGCATAGGGAGTGCACATTTCTTTGTTTAATTTTAGTAGTGTTCAGTATAGGTTTTTAGTATAGTGTGTCGGCCATATTTGACCGACACACTATATCTGGGGCACCGACGTTTTTTTTGAAATCTGAGTCTGATTTGCGTGAAAAACACCGCGTGTTCACAATGATAAATCTGATTTCATGGATACTTTCAGGCAAGATATACTCGAGCGACTTCAGCCAAACAACAGTCTCGAGATTTGAGGCCCTGAATCTAAGTTTCAAGAATATGGTCAATCTTAAACCATTCATGGAGAAGTGGATCAACGATGCAGAACGACACAAGACCTTAGTGGAACAAGACACAGATGGATTGAGCCTTGAAGACCAGAAGACGCTGGAAATATTCCAGAGTTCGAAGGACAATCTGGGACACCGACGAAGGAAACGACGTACTTGCATTGATGTGAAGACGAAAAAGGCGTTGGAGCAGTTCTATAATGGTACGATACTAAACATGTAATTCTCTGGTAGTAAGCATTTAGTTCTCAGGTGTTTCGAAAGTCAAAACTTTGTGCCGTAATTCATGTTTTAGATAAACCTCATCCCACCCACGAAGAATGCTGTGCAATAGCGGAAGCCTTAAACCAGGACCGCAACACAATCCGAATCTGGTTTGGCAACAGGCGCCAGCGAGACAAGCGACTGATGCAGTTGCAGAACTCAGTGTTCGCCCCAAGGGCTTCCTTCGCTTCAAGGCCATCCATGGATGTTTTCGACAACCGTGAAGTAGTTTCGTTGGACGATTCAATGATGCCAACATCTTTTGATTCGTCGGAACTTCAAACGATGCCAAATTTCAGCCAATCCGAAGCTCCTATTATGCCACAAATAAACAACTCGGAAGTCTCAACTGTAGGCTCACATAATAACGTGCTACAACCTTCCGAGTCGTCGGCATTCTCGACGCCGCAGCAAAACAACTCTGCGTTCAGACCAGTTTCGCAATCTACCCAAAACTGAATTTTTGTTTTAACTAGTTTATTCGAATAATTTATACATCGGCAATCTAGATTCGATTTCCGTTTGTTTTCTTGAGTGCAAATAAGCGAAGTGATTTATCACTTATTTCGGTCGTTTGTTTTTTTTTGTTTAAGAGTTATGAACATTGTGAATACTCTTATATAGTTCTTGGTGATTTTCTTTTCACGCTCAGTTTTGATTTTTTTTGCGGTTTGACCTTGTCTTATTTTTAAGTTCTCTTCATTTCTTTTGTAAAAAGAAAGGCGAACTCCTCTATCGAACAGCAAAATGTAAAGGTCATAAAAATTGAGATCGAATTCTTTTTTCGAAAATGGAATTTGATTATCAGATGTCCCAGCGAAATAAAAACTTTATCTGTTGACTCTGTTTCCTCAAACTGGGGTAATCTTATTTTAAAAAATACTGCACATAAATTGTTCGTTCAAAGGCATTTTTTTTTCTTTAAAATTCGAAAGTTGAAGTTTTTATAAAAACAAGTCCGTTTTTTTTCTGTTTCCATTCGTTCATGACTTTTTCCAACTGTCAGTTGGCTATGTTTTTTTTTAGAAAAAATTCTCCCAAATTTGCTTTTTTTGCGGTTTGATTTTTAAAAAAGTTTACTTTCAAATTCATCTACTTAAAGGAAGGCAAATACCAGTACTTGCAGATTCTCATTTTGAATGCGCTATCTATCCGATATCCAGTCAGTACAAATAACACGAAAAAATTTGAGTGGTTTTAATCTAGTTTTTAAAAAAAGGTTTTTAAGCTAGTTAAAAAAAGGTTTTTAAGAGTCGGTGAATATTGTGAAGTATTAAATTTTGTTCACGCTCAAATTTGATGTATAGCGGTTTGCTTTTGATTCATTTTTAAGTTCAGTTCATTTCCTTTTTACAAGGAATGCAAACTCCACTATCGAGGAGCAGTAGTGAAAAGGTTGCGTAACACGTGATCGGTTCGGAAGTGGATTTTAATTTTCAGATTTTACAGCGGAATAAGAAGTTTAACTATTGATCCAATTTTCTCAAATTGAATTAATTTTATCTAAAAAGTGTCAATCTTAAATTGATTTTGAAAGTCAAAGAGCTTTAAGGCCATATACTTTTTACTTCGACATTCGAAATTGACGTTCTTTTAAAAAAAATGTGGTTTGTCAAAAGTTATTAACAAAGTTTGGATTTAAAAAACGAGAATATGTATGTACTGGTAATGCAGCCAATAAATATCAAGCAAGAAAACAAAATCAAGAAATGAAGTCAGAAGTTGATGTTTTTCCAGGGAAAATTTCGCCTTTCTCAAAATTACATATTTGTCAGAAAACGAAGTGTTTTGTAACCATTTCTATTTTCGTTTCTTACTGGAACTTGTTTTTTTTTGAAATTTTGAATGCTGTTTTAGATTTGAAATTGAATTAAGCAGCAAGTGATTCATTAAGTGATGGCTGAATTAGTAGCTCCTCCTTTCAAGAACTGGAGGACCACCCTGGAACGACTGGAAAAGTTTTTATCCGACAGTTTTTTCCAGAAATACAACCTCACCTCACAGCTGCAAACAGAACTGAAGACGTTTCAGAACATTCCATGTGTCAAATATCAGACTGGGAGACCTCTTTTTAAGGATATTGATCTCAAAAAATTCGAAGAAGTCGATGTAAAAAGTACTAAATTTGGACCCACATGGTCGACGTTTTGGTTCAAACTTGAAGTTGATCTTCCTGCTTCAACTTCGAAAGTAAACTTGGCGGAGTTCTCCACAATTGGCTTAGTCTGGAAATGCGACTGTGAAGCGTTAATTTATGATGTCAATGGAGTGTCGTTGCAGTCTTTTTCAGAGGAGAGAACTTTCTTTCCTTTCGAGGATCCGAGGTTTCAAGGAACTCTTTACGTGGAACTGGCATGTAATGGGATGTTCGGAGCAGGGGAGCATTGTATACAGCCTACCAATTTGGAGAAGACCTTCACTGTCAGTGAAGTGAAATTAGTTGTGAGAAATGACTTGGCCTACAGTTTGTATCATAAATTGAACATGATACATGATTTGGCAAAGGAGATGGGACAAAATACTGTTTCAGGTGGGTGTCTTTTTAAGTCTCAGCCTATGAATAATTGAAGCTTACAAACTTTCTGAAAACATTTTGAGCAGATTATTCAGTGCTCTTTGTTCAACAACTTGAGTTTAAATAATGAATTCCTGGCGAGTAAAATTCAACTCATTGTAAAATCAAACGTTTACAGATAAATTGTTTTAATTGATAAAAAAAAATTGTTTTGCGATAGCGCCGTAGGTTTTAGCATCCCGTTTTCTTTCGTCTTTGATTCTGTATTAGCGTCTGTTTTTTGTAAATTGTGAAATTTGGTGAAATATGAACAATTTTATTTTTTGTTTAATTTAATTTAACTCAGAAACGAGTTCATTGATTTTTAAGCGAATCCAGTGTTTTTAAGATTGAAGGGTTCAATCACTGAAATTAGGAATATGTTTCTGTTTAGGAAGCAACGCTCTGTATACTGCAAATCACGTGGTCAATTTGCTCCACAAAGAAGGTTTCTCTGCGCAATCATTGCAAGATGCATTGTCGATTGTAAATAAAATCTTTCCACCACAAACAGGGACGAAGCATTCCGACGAGCATTTAACAATCGATGCGTTTGGTCATTGTCATATCGACACGGCATGGTTATGGCCATATGACGAAACGAAGCGAAAATGTGCACGGAGTTGGGTGAATCAAATCAAACTAATGAAGAAAAACGAGAACTTCAAGTTCGTGTGCTCACAAGCGCAGCAGTTCAAATGGGTCGAAACTGACTACCCTAAATTGTTCCAAACTATCCAGGAGTTCGCAAAGAAAGGACAATTTATCCCTTTAGGGGGATGTTGGGTTGAAATGGACGGAAATCTGCCGAGTTGCGTGTCATTTTGTCAGCAGTTCCTGTATGGGCAGATGTATTTTAAAGAAAAGTTCGGGCAGTTTAGTGATATCTTCTGGCTGCCAGATACTTTTGGATACTCCGCTTTGCTGCCTCAAATAGCAAATTTGAGTGGAATCAAGTACTTCCTGACTCAGAAATTGAGCTGGAATCTGGTCAATACTTTTCCTCACAACTCCTTTATTTGGGAAGGTGAGACTTGAAGCCAACTTTTTTTTCAAAAATCACGAAGATTTGTAATACACCGAACAATTGCAAGGATTTTTTAATGGATGCGTTTTTAGTAACTTTTATTTAAAATGTGCATTTTTATATTGATAATCACATTTGACATGGTTGCATAATCGTTTCCTTTAAAAAATAACCTAACTACATCGTTGATATTCTCACGCTTGTAAAAAAAATTAAGCTGTATAATTTAACAACTAGATTTGCTCTGAGGTTTTGATGAGACAGCAGAATTGAGAACCTCAAACCGAATAGATGTATGATTTTTTTCCAGGCCTCGATGGATCTCAGCTACTGACTCATTTTCCACCCAATGACAACTACTGCGCTCGTATGAATCCAAGTGAACTGCTGTTTGCTGAGAAGAACTTCAAAGACAAAGGCAGATCTCAGGATGCGATGATGCTGTTTGGGTTTGGAGACGGAGGAGGGGGTCCCACGGAGGAGATGTTGGTGAGAGTCAATGCTCTGCAGACTGACCATAAAGTGGCCGTGCCGTCTTGTGTCACAACCACACCAACACAGTTCTTCGAGAGGTCAGGACTAAATTCTTACTTTTTCTTTAGTAGCAGAGGGTTCAGGTGACATTGAGAAAAAGTAGGAACATAAATGCTGAAAAGCTCAAACGAGAACGGCTCATTTTGTGTTGACGTATGGTGGAAATTCATTAATTTAATAAGCATGTAGCACTGATTTGTCGTCTGTGATACTTCACTCTTATAAAGTTGAATCTATTTAAAAATCAATTTAATTGCTGTGCTTGATCCATCAAATGATTCCAATATTTTATTTTAGATTGGACAAGAACAGATCCAGCCTGTGCAAATGGGTGGGGGAGCTGTACTTCGAACTGCATCAAGGCACCTTCACATCTCAGTCCGAAATCAAACGTCTGAACAATCGGATGGAAAACTTGTTGCGCTGCGCCGAGTTCTACGTCGCAGTTCTCAGAATCATATCACAGAGGGACTCGAACTCAATGCCTCCAGAACTGGACATTGACAAAATGAGAAGTGCTTTGAAAAGTGCTTGGGAGTTAGTTTTGTGTAACCAGTTCCACGATGTCTTGCCTGGAAGCTGTATCGAAGAAGTAGCGAGGGATGCTGTCGATTATTTTAAAAGAGCCGAGAATCTAATCAAGTTCCAGTTCTCAAGCGAAGTGATCTCATGTCGAGTGAACTTATCACAATGGTCTTTTGATGTTCAATCTGTCGAACCTCGTCGTTCGGATCCTCTGTTGGACGTTGTAGTTCCTAAAGTTAACCTGTGCCTTGAAAACGAATATTTAAGAGCAGTGTTCAAGCCAGATGGAACGCTCGAAAGTCTCAGCGCTTGTGGCACTAAGCAGAATTTGGCAGCTGAAGGTTCCCCCCTGAACGTGTTCAAAATTGACTCAGACATGCCTCTGTTTTGGGACGCTTGGGATATTATGGATTACCATTCCGAAACTGGAGCGAACATCTCAGCTGTTTCTCACAGAATAGAAAATGGCTGTTTTGTCTTCGAGTTCAAAATCAGTGACAATTCTAAAATGTCTATGAAAGTTTCTCTGCCTAAATGTGAGCCCTACTTGGTTTTCGAGTTGTGTGTTGATTGGCAAGAGGCGCATAAACTCTTGAAAGTTGAGTTTGAATTTGATTTGAGAGCACAGCATTGCAGTTATGGATCTCAAATTGGTTTCGTTGAGCAAACAAACAACATGAACACTTCGCAAGATACAGCGAAGTTTGAAGTTTGTGGTCATAAATGGGCAGCCATGCAGCAATATGGATACGGCTGTGCTGTTCTGACCCCGGCTAAATATGGCTTCAGGGCCCTGGATTCAAAGTTGGCTCTTTCTTTGCTACGCGCCCCTAAGGCGCCCGATGATAATTGTGATATGGGCAATCATTCAATAAAGTATGCTTTAATGCCGTACGTAGGAACATTCCAAACAGCTGATGTCCAGAAATGTGCTAATGATTTCAACTTGAATACGGACGATTTTGTTGTTTCTATTCCGAAATTGTCACCACAAATGACTGAAGTGACAAGTGAAGGAGCGTTAATCAAAGTGTTGTCGAAAGCGATTAGAATTGAGAGTTTTCAATGTGCGTATGAGATGCCCAATGCATACGTGTTGAAACTTTCCGAACAGTTTGGCTCCTCTGCCCAATGCAACGTAGCTCTTTCGTCACTCCTGGGAATGAAAAAATATGCTCTTTGTGATATTCTTGAGAGACCCTTGAGCGAGTTCGCTGATATTTCTGAGCGCGGAGTGATAATAAATGTGAAACCATTCAAGTTGATTTGTATATTATTGATAGCTTAAGTAATCACCTAAACTGAAATGTATCTTCAACCTATTCTGCTCCCCGAGCTTGTTAAATATTAGATTCTGCTGAATGTAAAAGGGCGTTATCAATAATGTTACCGCGAGAAAATGGTCGTAGTTTAGTAAAAGGAACAGGAATGATTGCTCGGTCTTATAGCGTATCTTGTTTTTCTTAGTAATTAATTGAATGCGCTTGAAGTTCTCACCTTTAATTATAGTTATTTTCAATCTGATTGTGGTTAAAGGATATAGTGGACTGTACTCATATTGAGCAAAACCACCTGCGGATTCTCATTGAAAATAAGTGAGTCTCAAAAATAAGTCTCAGAAATAAGTGATTGCTAGGATTTGCGGTAACCGGTGTTGAAGGTCATGAAGATCTGAAGGTCATGAGTACAGACCTTATTTGCGCTGAACAGCAAAAATGTTGGTTACATAGGCGCATTCTTATTTTTGCTTAGTGAGCCATTTGCAATGACTTCTTTTTTGGATTTAAGTTCAACAGCTGGAATAGCAAAATGGATATACTATGAATAGATGGCAAGAGTCCACTTTAAAAAGTTAGTTATTCCTTCTCCCGTAATCCACCGTTTGTGATTTGATGAGTATTTTGCATACATCTGTATCGTGATTGCATCCATCTGTAACTTGGTTGAGTTAGTCTCCTGTTGCAAAATGATACAAATTGAGGTAAATCATTGATTTGGGATTGCTGTCCTCACTCGGTTTCGGAGCTTTTAATATTTTAATTGAAAGAAGTCGGTGATCGAATCGCATTAACTGAGTTCATCCTATACTAAATTCCTTTTTTAGAATTGGGTTTGATAAGGCCTGAAATGGGGTGAGCGAGATCTGTTAATGTATCTACTTGTTACGATTATTATAATCTTCTTGGTTAAATTGTCGAACTCTAATATCACTATTTGATTGCCAATTTTCTTGGTCTTAGCGTTGTTCAGCAACTTGCTCAGTTTCTCGTATTTGTTCAATTTTGGTGCTCAGCAAAAGTATCAGATCTTTGGTGACTAAAATGGAATGCGGTTTGTGCTTTATCTCTTCGACAATGGGATTCTCTTATACTTGTTGTAATAGCGGATGCCATAATTACTTCGATTAGAATTTGGATGATTTGAATTGTTCAAAAATTCTGTTTTGGTTATTTCCTAATTGACCATTTTGGTAAGGGGCATTTTTAGAGAAATCGCTTCGTCTCTGATTGTTGAAATAAATCTTTTGAAATAAACCATCCTTGCATTTCTGTTGACATTTTCAACAATTTCTTCAACCTAGAAGAAAAGACAAATAGTTGAACCTAGAGTTCAATCTTAAAAGCTTTTTCTCGTAAGACCGAATTTTTCTCGCTTAAACATTTTTTGTTGTGTCAAAAATCTTTAGGCTGGAAACAAAAATTTAAAACAAACTGAAATTTCTCAAATTCTAAAGCTTACTCTATCTTTGATGTTTAGTTCGTTCAGACACGGATGGCTCAACGTTACAATCATCGTTTCGTGGGCTACGAAGTCTGTCGTTGTCTGGGTTGAAACGAAGTCTACGACTTCCTGAGCCATTTCCTGAAACTCATCGCATGTCATCGTTAGCCGGAGACACCAATATTTGTGCGAGTCCGATAGCAGACATGCACATGAGCTGGTTCCAGTATGCGAATCACAAAAAGTTCCAGAGCAAACCGAATCAAGTGTTGCACAGGAAATCAGACGCAGGCTGTGCGGGTTGAAGTTGAAGTAGCCATAATGCGGCTTCTCCAGATTGCTGGGGGCAGCGCTGCGCGAGGATCCAAAGGAATGACTACGGGAACTAATGGATAAGAAATAGAAACAACAATGTTGTCGCCCAGAAAGGATTGCACCTGAAGGTTGACAATTGCAACTTCGCATACTGGTCGTATCAAACTGGAGAAGCGCAGGGTGGTCTTCGACTCGGATGCGGTTGTGCTAAATAACAAAATCACGTCCAATTGACCGGGTACACCGAAAATAACAAAAAGATCGCAAGACGGTATTTCCTTCATCGTTATCCCGCCCGTCTTTTTGATCGGTAGTCAGGTTCGGACTTTTTGGTTGCCCGTGCCGCTGTGTAGCACAATTCCTCGAATGTCCTCTAAAAAGGTCCATTTTTGAGTATTTGAAAAATTGGTTTTCTGTCTTTTGTCACTTTGTGAAAAAAAAGCAAATCTTGCCAAGTTTTTCAAATCAAGAATTTGTTTCACACTTTGCCTGCATTTATAAAGTTCTGCATGAAAAAATTAAAAGAAACCACAAAACTAAAAACTATTTTGTTTTTATGATTGCAGCTCATAGTTTTTCGCAATTTCATTTCAAAATGCTGAAATGATTGATGTAACATAGTGCTACTCGCCTATGTTAGTCATTCTTAACTAATTACCAGTGCTACTCGCCTACATTAGTCATTCTTAACTAATTACCATAGTTGGAGCATATTAAATATTCAATTGCTATTCCAAATGTCAATGTGAAAGTGTTAAATTATATTAGTTTAATGTAAACAATAAACTGATGATTAGTTCAGTAATATTGAGAGAGCCATTATAATCAGGAGCTCGCCAAAAAGAGACAATTCAATTAGTAATACTCACTTTTAATTGAACAGAAAGCCAGTTCCTTAGAAGGTTGAAACTGACATCACAAAGCGCATCCCTGAGTTGAAGATTCACTAGCCTAGACCGCACATCCAACCTAGATACTTCATCACTCAAGAATACAAAACATAGTCATTCCTCAATCAACGACCAAACGACAATAGCCAGTAACGGTAGATAGCATGGCGACTATGAGTGGGATGATCTTAGCAACCTTTCAAGACAAGCTGAAGCTGATTGCAAAGTGAGAGTGAAAACAAGACGACATCCAACACCAGACGACTTCCAAACGCCACAAGGTGAAACAAGATCACGGCAGTAACTGGCTCAAACAGCAGAAAAGCGGGGCAAAAACCGAAACTGACTACAGCCAGTGAGAGACGACAGCAAGGGGCAAAAGGAAACTTTAACTGTTTTGTGTTGATGACAACTACTACACTTCTTCAGGAAAGTGATACAGTGTACAAAAACAGTTAAAACTTAGAATTCTCGGTGCTTAAATTAAAATTGATGAGTGCTCATTTGAAACCAGTCATTTGAAATCATCCATGAGAACCGCTTGAAAACCTATCCAGTGCTTAAAGTCTAACCAAACATCAAAAAATATAGTGGAATAATATTAAAGCCGCAAGGAAAGTTAACTTAAAAAGTAGAAAGTTTAAAATATAGAAACGAGAGCTAATTAACTCCTACTCGTAACTAATCATAGTACGAGCCATCTATAAATTTTCTCAGAGACGTTAATTACGTCCTTACAATTTAAGTACCCACTGGGCATTGATTATTTCCGGAAGCGATACCGAAGATTTCGCCCAATTCGAACAGCTCTTCCAAGGATATGTGGGAGTTGCGGGAATCGCAAATGCTCAGCAAGCGAATTTTCCACAATTGCACCTGCGAGATAGTGCGTTGCGATTCTATCAGACACTGCCAGCGCTAACAAGAGCCGACGTGCCTCTTAGTCTAGCAGCACTACGCGACCATTTTTGCAACCCTCAATTGCAAGAGGTCCACGTTCTAAAACTTGAACAATCAAAGTTTGATATCAAGCGAGACTCACCAGAGAATTACCTGGTAAACCTCACAAAGAAGGCACAACGAGCCTACCCGACACCTGATCTACCTGCCGTTGCCCCACTCGATGCGGCACTAGTAGGCGCTGCAGCCGATGCAGACGCAGCGCGCTTCCATGGAGAGACGGCGCAACGTCAAGAACGACTTGACGCAGAAAATGATCATAGGAACAATCAGATCAAACGTTTTTTTATCAAACGCATGCCCAACTGGCTTCGTTCGAAGATGATGGAACAACCAGCTGCGACAACAGTACAAGAGCTTTGCAACCTGGCACGCAAACAAATTACAATTAGAGACGTTTGGCGTAATGAAGACTACCCAGAAGATAGCTTCAACGAAATAGGAGATACAGTTTCTCGCAACCTAATTAGTGCGTTGTCAAAACTAACAACAGCTCAGGAACAGATTGAGAAACAACTCAATGAAGTCCGTAGTGAGCTATCGGATCTAAGAAAAATGATCCAGTCACGACCACAAGATGGCAACGGAAACGCACATCAGAGCCCTCAACTGAATAGCCAAAACACTGGTGGGAATAATAACCAAGCCCAACAACAACAAAATCAACGAAACAATGCACAGAGCCAAGGAAATGGAAATGGCTCAAATCAGGGAAATACGCCTGGCCCTAACCAAGGGAATGGAAATGGGCAACAAGGATACAATCAAAGAAGAGGTAGATTTGGTAAAGGAAAAAAAAATGGACAGCAGAGAAATGATGGAGGATACGGAAACCCAGGTTTCTCCGGGTTTCAAAATATGCAGTACTTCCCACGAATGTTCCAGTTCCACCAACAGATCCCTGGAATGCAATCGAACCCCTATTTCCAACAAAACCAGAACTATCCCAAAACACAACAGAACGCCCAGATTTATTCGAACCAGATGTACCCTCAGGGTCAACAAATTCAACAGCAACAAGCGATAGCTACGCCACCACAACAGAACGCCCAGTTTGCCCAACAAGTTGCACAACCAATGATGCAGCAGGTGCACGCCCAAAATCCCAATACAGCAGCAGTTCGCACTGGAGCAAAGTTCTGTGATCACTGCGGGAAGTTTGGCCATAGCATAAGTCAATGTTGGCACAAACCCAGCAACAGGGACAGCAGCAACAAAATTTCCCGTTCCAAATGGAACCAAAAAACTAATTCAGCCACAAAGTCTCAGTAAAATCATCTAAATCACAAAAATCGCGAAAATCACGCAAATTAAATACTCAAGACGTACAAGACAATGAAAGTATTGATCTGTACGCAGTCATCCCAACCGAAGAAACAGTGCTAACTTATATGAAAATAAGATTCGCGCCAAGCCTTCAAAGAAGAGTACTGATTGACACAGGAGCATGTGCAAACGTTATTTCGAAACATACATTCGATGAAATTAAAAATGAAAAAACACTATTCGCACCCTGTAAAACGGCAAAATCAAGCCTCAAGCAAGTGCGAATGGCAGGAGGCCAACTGGTGTCAATCGAAACTGAGGTAACTATTGAGTTTCATATCGCAGATATGAACTTTACGGAAACGTTCCTAGTGCTGAATTCAGCTAATTCAACGATCCTGGGAAACCCTTTCTTTAAAAAACGCCATATACACGTCTGCTCTAAATACAATCTA